GGTATGAGCCCGAGCCATACTATCCAAGAAGAGTCCCAAACTCGTCAGACTTCTTAAAATCTTTGATTGCCTAAGTACGAGCCTCTTCTCGAGCTTTTGTCAATTCCTCCTCGAAGCTCTTTTTAACTTGCAAGAGCTCGAGTTTGGCCTCTTCAGCTTCATCCTTGGCCGTCCCGATATCATCTTAAGCCTTACGAAGGTCGGACCTCGCATCGTCACGCTCTTTCTCAACCTCGAGGACCCACCTCTTAGCCCGATCCCTCTCCCTCTCGAGCCCTTCCAGCTGGCTTGAGATATTGAGGCCATTTAAGGTAAGATCTCTTGCCACACTCAACGTCTGCATTAGAACAGTAAGAAAATTCGATGTCAGTATGATCAATGGAACATGAAACTGGAAACATCATTAAGGTCGATATCTTACCCTCAAAGTCAAGACCTCCAACATCTTGACACCTTCGTGAATGTTGACCTCCTTCTCAAACCGATCAACAGGGTCCTTCACCAAGGCGCACTCAGAATACTCCTTGAGAGCGCTATCAGAAATAGACGAGAAGCCTGAATCGACCACGCGCTGACATCCCCGAGCTCGATCTTGTGATTTTAGTGTTTACTGTGGAAGGGAGGTCGAGGCCCTCAACGTCGAGGTTTGACCCTTTGGCAAGGCCTGAGATTCGAAGGTTGGGGTCCTCCCGGTAACGACCTCTCTGGTCCTTTTCTTCTCCTTGGATATAATGAATGTTTGCAAGTAGCTTCGATGGATCAAAAGACATCTCCAAATCTGCAAAAATGACAAATGCTTAAGCTCGACCTAAATCTCACAAACAACACATGAAAAGAATAAGGAGGAAAGACCATACCCTCGAGGCCTTTAACATTTGCCAAGATCAAGGGTGTTATCTTCGAGGAGATAATCAATCTTTTCTGCCAGAGGGTCATGATTCACTAATCTCAGCCTATCTCGTTCTAGAACTTTAAAATAAGCCTGATCTTCATTAAACCTATCCCTGTCCGAAACTTCCCACTTCGGGCTACAAGAGTGATCGGGATCCTGAGGTTTGACAAAAAATAATCACTCTTTCTAGCCCCGGAGAGAGCTCAGGGATTCAGGTGTCCTAAACACTCATTTGGTAGACAAATATACAAAACAATTATACCCCGACGAGAATTTTGTGTCAAAAACCATCTTCAATAAGTCGATCCTAGGTTCGATCTCCAAGCACCTACAGAGGATAAAGAAGTATACTAGAAGCCTCTACCCGTTTGGGGTTAACTGAACTGGGCAAAAATAGAAAAAAGTCAAGAAATGGATAAAGAAGGGGTGAAGAGGCCATCTAAGCCCGGCCTTAAGGGCATCTCTAGAAAAAGTCATCTCTCAATCTCGAGCTACCGTAATGATCACATGTTCTTTGTATTTTGTAGGGTTCATTGGATAGGTCAATACTACCTCGCTCTGAGAACACGAACTCACAGGTATGGCCGTGGGACTTATGGAAGTACCTAAGGTTTCGGGGTTCTCACCATCGTTTGAGCTCCTAGAGGGTTTGCTACTATCACTAGAACTCGATTCTTTGCTGCTATTACCGCTACTCAACATTATGATTTTCAAATAATTAACAACTTAAAGGCGTGATCTCTTACCTTTTTAGAAGGGCGCTCACAGACTCACTATCCCCGAGCTCAAGCTTTCTTTTACTGGAGAGTGAAAAGTGAAGAGTGAAAGTGAAATGTAGGGACTATTTATAGGGGTCTTTGGAATATCAATGGTCCATTAATCATGGCCATTGAATAATGACTCGTGGTGACCATCCAAGTTCGCGTCCTTTCCCTCTAACGTGTGTCATACATGTGTCAAGCTGTGATATCAGTTGTGTCTTAGATTGAAATTTAACTTCGGACTACCACGCCTTTCTGCATCTCGATTTGCAGCCAAATTTGCACTACTAGCCGTGACTTCGATGCACGGGGGCCTATGATAACCCAACATTTCTTAAGACCCAAACTCGACCTCGTTACCCCGATCTTGCCTGCCTGCGAATCTCTCGAAGGTGAGGTTGGGTGTATTTTTAGGTCGGGCTCATGGTGGAAGGTAGGGCATCGTTGTTTATATAAGGCCCTCGGTCCCCCGACGTGGTTCTTGGGGAGAACTATCCTATTCTACCTACAATTCTCACCCAAATTGACTCCCTCCTCTATTCAAACTCAAGTAGAATACTTTGAAATAAACACTAACTCCTTATCCTACGAGGATAAGGACCACACATGGTTAAGTCCTTCTAGGACTCTATCATCAGCACCTACAAATACATAACCTGGGCTCATTTTCCATGTACGTTTTTCATTATTTCTAGTTTATACTCTCACGCACTAAATTCCCTATCTGACTTAAGCATCGGAGGGGCGACGAGCACACATCTCGTTGTCTTTGTTTCAGGTATTCCAAGACTGTTCGTGTTCACTCAAGTTCGGAGTTTGATCATCCAGTTCGAGATCTTTCAGTTACGATTTTTTGGTAGCATCAGATACAATCTTGATTTTTGACCTAATTTTTAGTACCTATAAATATAGAATTGAAGTTAACATTTAGGGGATCTCTCTTATCTTTCAAATCAATTCATATCATAAAATCTATTAAGAAACGAGGGACAAATTCAATATGGATTGGAGATGAGAACAAATTTAGCCCGCTATTGAATTGAGAAACATTAAGAACTTGAAAAATAAGCTCAGGATTGAAAATCAACAACAAAAAATTATTTTCACATATTTCTCGTATTCATTTAAAATCTGGGTGATTAGAATCTTGTATACTAGATTTCTTTTTGTGTTGGATGAATACGAACCTTATTTTTTATTTACTTTTAATTTAAAGACAAATAATTTAGTAATTATTATATTTCTTGTTTAATTATTAATGCTCGTTGAATTATTTAATTGCTTGATCACCACTCAGGTAATTAATTAATTATTTTAGTACTAGAGTCTAGAAAGCCCATAATAAGTAGAACACATCATGATTGACTCGTGGGTAATAAATGTTTAGGTATGATATATATCGTGTGTGCAATCATTCGGATAATCGGGTAATTAAATGCACTATATTAATATGAATTCGAACTAGAAATATGATCAAATGTATCTAGAATATAATTAACTTATATTGGAAGGAAAGTCATATACAATAGGATTATCGACTATAAAAAACATATGAATAGAATTAAATTACATGGGTGAGAATTATAAACTGGATAATAATAGATGAAATCGAAATTCCAACACATACATCTAGTAGTTCAGCCTAAAGTCGTCTTAGTTAATTAGTAGATAAGTTAGATATAATAAACATGAATTTCTGTTGTTAGTTACATTCAAATTCGGTAATGGATTAATACGGTTCGATTTAAATTTTACTCTCTGTTGGATGATGCTCTTGATTCATTACATTATTACTTGTCAGTAATTTCATATGTTCGAATACAAAACATTACAAATAGCACGTATCCTAACATAATTTCTTATTGGAAAATTTTTCATATCGGTCCTAAAAATTGAAGATAGTACAGATAAACTCAGATCTTTAAATAGTAGCAAATAGCCCTCAAACTTTTCAAAATTGTGCTGTATAAAAACTTTTAGACGATTATTGTCCAAATATTCGTTAACCATAACATGACCAATTCTAAAGAGGACAAAATGGTCTTTTAATATTTAATTAATTAAAACAATGATAATTTGCATACGAGATTCAAGACCTTTAAAATTTATTCAATGCAGATCGAAACCCTTAATAATATGCATTGGAATGATCTTTAATTATTTCTACCCAAAAATTGTCAATTCACCAAGAGATCAAACTTCTACCTTAATTTGATTAATCTCTTAAAAAGGCAAAATGATCTTTTAATATTCAATTAATTAAAATAATTGAAAATAGAGACAAAGTGAGGTGGTTATGGTGATTGATGTTGTGACTGCAACTCAAGTGGTGATAGTTACTGTGAAGTTCATCAACCCCATTGGATGGATTGGGGAAGAACAACGCTTTCAATTTTTATTTATTTATTTATTTTCTCTTCTTATTTATTTTTTTGGTTCTATTTTTAATTTTTTAATTAATAAAATATTAAAAATGTATTTTTTATTTTAAAATTTGATCAAATTAAAGTATAACGTTTTACTTTTGATAAAATGAAAATTTTTTAGATGAAAATTATTAGAAGTCTTTCAGGTGCACATTTATTAAAAATGTTTGAGACCACTCGGTATATTTTTGTTAAGGTCTAGCTCTCCGAAGTAAATTTCCCTTATTTTAATTAATTAAACGTTTAAAAAACTATTTTTTATTTTAAAAATTGGTCAAATGCTTGATTTTGGTCAACTAACAAATTTTTAGACGATAAACTGTCCAAAGGTCATTATATTGATTTTGAAAGACTGGGACTATCGCTACAATTAAAAGATTTATATGCTATCTAGGCTGTTTTGAAAGGTTTGGGGCATTTGGTGAAAATTTCCCTTTCTTATTTACAATTTTAATATTAACAAATTGAACTATCCTCTTGATTCTCACTATGGTGATGTTTGGTGTAGCTAAAATTAATTTTTTTAGTATATTCTGATAAAAGTTGATGAAGTGCATAATTGAAAACTTATGAATCTTATGAAATATTTACGATTAAAATTAATTAATAACTTTATCTTAAATTTTTATCGAGATTTTAATTCACTTCAAATAGACTTTATTTGTGGTTTGTTTTAAAAATCTTTTTCAGTAAATTTGAGTGATAAGTGCTGTTTGGTTCCACTTTTTCACCCAAAAAATGAATTTTTTGACCGTTACTTCTCCAAATCAATCGTCATTTTTCACTTCTTTCCTTACAGATGAGATTCACATTTATTTCTAGTAGTGAAAAAGTCAATTTTCTTAATCACTACCGAACAATTTCCGTGAATGTCACTTTGTCCACGTGCACCCATTTAACGAAAACCACAAATGAGACGGCAGGTGACGGGAAAGACGGTTTTCGCAAGAAAAGATTCATACAATAATGTCTTCGTCAACATTGGAAGCCTAAGGTCCTCTCTCAGAATTTATAATTCTTGGGTAAAGGGGAAAGCCTAGGACCTCTTTCAAGAAAAGACTCATCTTCGTTCGGCCGTTCGAAAGCCCTCACATTACTAGACGCGTTCCCAACCCTTGTACTCTCGTGCCCTACAAGCTTTCCTCTTCTTTTCAAATTCCCAAATTCGCCAAATCGGTAAATTTTGCAGATTCTTCATCTCAAATTGACGCCAAATCCTCCGAAAGAACTGCAAAAATGAGAAGCGGGTCATCTGAAACCAAGTTTTTGCAAGAACTGGTTCTCTACGCCGCAAGCGCAGCTTTGAGCTGTTTGGTTTTGTTCGCGGGGCTCCGACATCTTGACCCCAACCGCGAAGCGTCCAAGAAAGCAGTCGAACACAAGAAGGACATTGCAAAGCGTTTGGGCCGACCTCTCATCCAGACCAATCCCTATGAGGTTCAAATTTATTTCTATACGTGTTGTATTGTATGTTATTTTTATAATTATATGCCTTAATTTGTATAAATATTGTACGGCATTGTCTCTGTCATTGATTTTTATTTTTTACTTTTTTTTCAGTAATGGTTGTTTGTTTTTTAATTATTACGAAAAATTCACAGTGATGGAAGTTAAGTTACTATAACATACAAATTTTTTAGGTAATATTCTTAGTGACTTAAATTTTAAATATTATTGACAATGTAATTGCATTTTGATTTTGTTTTAGGTTTTATTGGTTAGGACAAAGACAAGGAAAGAAAAACCTAGTACTTTTGGAATTTTCTTATGTTTGATCTTGTTGGAAATTGCGAATATGGCTTGAGCACCTTGGACTAGGATCATAAAACATTTGGCTTGCGAGATATACAAGCCAAGCTTGAAATCATTTTACTTAAAAACTTCATGGTTGTACTTACTGACTACCAAACACAATAAAATTGCCAATTTGCTTGAGCTTGGCTCAGATGTAATTTGTAAAAGATTAGTTCTGCTTGACTTAAACAATGAATCAAACAAGCTTCCCCCAACCTTCTTTTTCTCTTTCTTTTTCTTTCTAGGCTCATTTAAGATGTCAACCTGAGTTTTAGGAGCCTGTTAAGCTATTTATGCCCTTGGATAGATGTCATAGATAATCCAAGAATATTTCTTTTCAGCACAAGGATAATGTGAGGTATTGGGTTTGTGCTAAAGTTTGTTTAATTGTTACTTCTTTTTTCATTGATTGTTGTGGATATCAAAATTTGGATTAAGGCTTTCTTTAGGTGAAGATTAAAAGAAGAGTAATGTCATGTAGCCCAATTAGTGCTAAGCACAAGTCAATGTATCCTAAATGGAATCCATATCTTTTTATATCCAATCACTTAATACTAAATTGGCATCAGTCTAGATGTCAATTAAGTGATTAATATCTTAAATGAGACCCATGTTTGATATTTTTTACTTCAAGGTATCCAAATTTAGCCCTTGTTTGGTAGCAATTAAAATTAGGTTTTTAATAGATTTTGTTGGAAGTTGATGAAATATGTGGTTAAAAAATTGTGGGACCTATAAAATATGTTGGTTAAAATTAATTGTTGACTTTGATTTAACTATTATCAATAATTTTAAAATAATTAAAAATAAAAAAATGTCTTATTACGCCTAGACTTTGTCTAAGCTCAACTAAGCTTATAAGGCTTGAGGCTCAGCCTTGATGTCTTGTCACGCTTTACACCCTTTGAAACCTTGAATGAGACTAAAGTGAAAATTTTAAAAGATTTCGATATTACAGCAGTCCTAATATTGAGAATTCTGTTTCTAATAATTGAATTTTATAATCTTGGTTATCAAATTGCTTAAATTAAGTAGAGGAAGAGTTAAATGTACTTCTACGCTGAATACAAGTGCTTTGAAAGTAATGATATTTTGTTTACCAGGTGTTTGGGTAATCTATTGAAGTTCGTCAACTAGTTTACACATGAATCACTTTGGTAGTTCTGGTACAAAAAATATATAAATTATAGTGGAATACTGCTTAGAGTTCTGCTATTGAAATACACACTCTCAAGTGTTCTAGAATTTTGAATCGGACTTTGTTTGCCTATGGGATGATTCTCTGGACACAATAGCATATGAATAACAGTCATACTAAGGTTATTGATGTCCATGGATTTGTGTCAGAGTGTTAATTAAAACATCAAATGCTTATTGTTGTCAAAAAATGTCACCACAGCATTGTGCATATCAGATTGCATATTGATGTTTAAATACAGTTAAGACTGCTATGATATCCTAAGGTGGTTCCGCATATATAGATGATGGCTGCCATTAATTCGTAAAGGGTCTAGTATTAGCTGATACGAATATTACGAAAATGAACAAAATAAAGTTAATGATGCAGAATACTGTTACTGGAGAAGGGGACTGGAGTCTGCCTCTTGGGAAGTAAATGGAGATCTGGAATGTTAAAAATTGGGTGTTCAAGTTCACTTCTTTTCGTTCTATAAAAGTTGGGCCTGGTGCTCAATTATTGAAGTCGTGTAGTAAGTTAGCAAAACCTTATATACTACATGTTATTTACTCTGATAATTGAAATGAAGTTAAATCTCACGGTTTTACCTGGTGGCTTTGTACAACGTTCAGAATTTATCACGTCCAGATATTCATCTATATACTCTTTCTTTACCATTTGTCTGTTTTACTTATTGATAGGATGTTATAGCCTGTGATGTAATCAATCCTGACCATATTGATGTAAGATTTGACTGTATTGGAGGATTGGAAGCCATTAAACAAGCATTGTATGAATTAGTTATTCTTCCATTACGAAGACCCGAGCTGTTTTCTCACGGAAAGCTTCTTGGTCCCCAAAAAGGTGTCTTGTTGTATGGACCCCCTGGGACTGGGAAGACTATGCTTGCCAAAGCAATTGCAAAAGAGTCTGGAGCTGTGTTTATCAATGTGAGAATATCAAATCTGATGAGCAAATGGTTTGGGGATGCACAAAAACTAGGTGAGTATAGGTCTCGTTCTCCGAGTTCTTACTCCACCTTGCATCTTCTGGATTATGTTGATTCATTTAAAGTTTCTTCTGGCCTCTTTGCATATTCTGATTATTTTAGTTGGTTTCACATGAATGTGTTGTGGTGATTCCCCTGTTCCTTCCCTCAATATGTGATCTACGTGTGTGCTTGTACTCGTTGCAATCATATTGATTTATTAGCTTGGGGTTAGGTGGGGTGGGAGTTTGTGTTGTAGATTTTTTATATTCATTTACACTGTGGCTAGTTTTTCAAATTCTCGTTTACGTAGTTTTCATGATTTGCTGCAACTTCTTAACTTTGATTTCTAAGTACCGGTTTCTCCTAATGGGTCTTATACATAGCCATGTTTTATTACTGCATAAATACTCGCTTTTCTTGTTACCGATTCTCCATGGATATCCATTTACTAGCTGTTACTTCTGATTGAAAATACTTTTGCAGTCGCTGCTGTCTTTAGCCTGGCGCATAAACTCCAACCGGCAATTATTTTCATTGATGAGGTGGATAGTTTTTTGGGCCAGCGCAAGACTACAGACCATGAAGCACTTACTAATATGAAGACAGAATTTATGGCTTTGTGGGATGGTTTCACCACAGACCGTGAGTTTCCTTAACCTTCTTGGGAATATTATTGAAAGATAGTTTCCATTGCTCTTTTAGCCTCTTTAATATGCCCTTTTGTGGCTCATTCATAATGTGGTTGTCGTATTGTTCTGTATAATGATGATAGATAATAGTGTTTATATCTATGTGTATTTGTTAATTTGAGATAATGTAGATGTCACTTTTGCTGAGATGGTATGATTTTGTTTATGCAGATAATTCTCGGGTGATGGTACTTGCTGCGACTAATCGTCCATCAGAACTTGACGAAGCAATTCTCCGTCGTCTTCCTCAAGCATTTGAAATTGGAATTCCTGATCACAGAGAGAGGTCACAGATACTGAAGGTGATTCTGAAGGATGAGAGCGTTGAAGATGACATTGATTACGACCATATAGCTGGTCTTTGTGATGGATACACAGGCTCGGATCTTCTTGAGCTCTGCAAAAAAGCTGCTTACTTTCCTCTCAGGGACCTGCTCGATGATGAAAAGAATGGACAATCATCTTCGGTTAGTAATTTCTCCTTTTCTTGCTTAATCAGCTTTTTTTGAATTCTATTTTTGGTCTACAATAACTCAGGTTATGAAGACCTATGATAACAAGATTGATTACATAATAATCTCAGAATATAACAGTATTTTATCAATTTATAAGCCATCAGCATTGAAAATGCAATGTGCAACAGGAATTGAGGAAGATTCAAGTTCTTCGAATGCCTTGCCTGCTCTAGTCATTTACTGAATCAATCGATTCCACTTTTAACTAGCATATCATATTTACTGATTCAATTTTAAGAGAACATATTAAGTTCCCATGACCCCATCAGATGCAAATCATTTACATGTGGCAACTTAAATAGTGTCGCAAGCTATAACATAATTCTGCCAGTTGTTGCTTCATGAAATAAATTCTTTACATATTACTTCTATACTAGCTTGAATCTATTCATCTACGGTTGGTAATCTCAGGAGCATTATTTACTTATTTCTCTATGTCCTCTTCTGTGTATCTGTAGTAAATTGTTGCTTTTGCTACAAATCGATGTGTATTTAGTTCTATAACACTACTATGAAATGCAATTTATGAAGTATGAAATATTAAAAGACGTTCCTTGTTAAGTAATGAACACAAATGCTTTGGTTCAGGAACGAATGATTCTAACTTCTACCAATTTTCTCGTCAAAACTTCTATGTTTTTTTTAGGTGCCAAGGCCATTATCGCAGTTGGATTTGGAGAAAGTCATCTCTAAAACAACGAAGACGAAAGTTGCTGCAAGTGAATATTCCCGATTAAGCTCACAATCATCAACGTGGCCAGGGCATAGAGATTCAGACAATTTTCAGGTTCAAGCAGCCATTAATGAGCTATCTAAGCTCGTGGTTTCCCAAATTTTGAACATTCAGCCAGAGTCCCAAGATCCTTGATTGTTATTTCCTGTCCTCAAAATCTTGTTGCTTGTATAACTATGCAATTAACTTAATTATTATGGGGTTTTGTGAACCCTTTTTGACATGAGATCAACCCTATTAGCAATTAGCATCTCCTAATTCAGGTTTTCGTTAATCCGTGCTTGGTCTTCATTTTTCCAAAAATTCATTTTCAATCACTCATTATTCCATCAAATAATTTTACACTTAGCACCATTTGGTTGGCAAAACATTTCCACGGTAAATGGAATTTGGGTGGTATTTTCGAACTTTGGTGTGTTTGATAGGAGTTTATTTTCCATAGAATAGAAATTCTTGGATTTTTTGGGAGCTGCACTTTTCTTGCTTTTGTATAGGCCTGGGCGTGGTTTGGTTTGGGTTGGTTTTGGCCTAAACCCAAAACCAAACCAAAGTAGTCGGTTTGAGTGAAATTAAAATCAAAACCAACCCACTCTAATTCTTAAACCGAACCAACCCAAACCACTTCGGTTCGGTTCGGTTTGGTTTGGTTTCTCGGTTTGAACTTTTAAATAACATTGCATTGTAACTTATAAAGAACAAGCAAACATTGATGTTATTCTTACACATTGTTCTCTCTCTTTTCTTTTTCTTTTTTTTCCTCCTTTTTTTCTTTCTTTTTCCTTTCTTTTTTTCCTTGTTCCCCCATTTTTGAGTTTGATTTACAAATGTGAGTGTTTCTTTTGCTTGGCGCATGATCTTTGGATACTTTCTGTAATGAATTAACAATTGCCAAACTTAATGACTAGTTTCACTTGTTTATGTTTGTGGGCGAGTGCTAATTGATTATTTGGATCATGTAGTTTCACATTATAGTTTGTCTCCTTCAAAAGTATTTGTTTCATATCCTAGAATATCTTTCCTAGCATTTGTTTGGTCAAGAAGCAACATTTGATTCCATTTATAATGTCCTTTTAGTTTGTGATTTTTGCCATATGTTTTTAACTGAAGAGATCACTCTCTTCTAACTTGTGGAGGAAGCAAATTTTCCTTCAAGTTTGTTTTGTTAATCTACAATGGGGGATGAGGAAAACAATTTTCAACCTTAAAAAAAGAGGGCTGCCGGAGTGCAACTATCTTGAGATAATCCTAATCTTGATGATGATGAAACTTTTGAATCAGAAACAAAAAGTTTCAAAAAAGCTAGTGACGAGGTTTTGGAAAGTAGAAGAATAGCGAAAGTTCGTCGTCATCAAGCATCAACTTTCGGTGCCTTATCTTTTGACTTTTCTTCCTGAAAAGGAAAACGAAAGCAAGAGAAAATGTATTGCTTGAGAGTGTGATTATGAGTTAGTTTTCATGAAATAATTATAAGTCCTATATCCATTTTGTTGCATGATTCCTAATCATCATGCTGCATGATTCTGGAGATATGAATGATTGAATCGTAAATATAGTCTACAGTTGCTAATAAAATCTTAGTTTTACTACTGTTGAAATTGATAATTAATGTGAAATTTTATTGGATTTGGATTGGATTGGTTATCATGTTTATTTTGATTCCTACAGTCATACTCTATCTGTGAGTTACCCTTCTTCTTCTTCTTTTTTCAAAAAGAAAAAAAATGGTTTAAATTTGTAGCGGGTTGAGCGGTTAATCATCGGTTTTGGTATTCAAACCATGAACCAAACCAAACCAACATAGTTTTTGTCTACAAAAAATCAAACCAAACCATTTGACTACTCTAAACCGAACCAAACCGAATCGGTTCGGTTTGGCAGTTTAGGTGGTTTGACGGTTTTTTTGCCCAGGCCTACTTTTGTATATGGTGGGAATTGATTTTTCGTTGACGTTTTTCCTTTTTCTTTTTTTTTTTTTTGTGGCAATGGAAATAAATTCTAAGAATTATTGTAAAAAAAAAATTTTCATTTAATTGACAATTTTTATGTAAAACAAAGTCAAACGAATAGCAAAAAATAGATAAATTTTTTGAATTTTATGTTTTGGGCAATGAAAATAAATTGTGGAAATTACATCTTTACCTACTTTTCAAAATCAATTTTCTAAAATCATAGTGAAGATTTAAATGTACAAAAATAAGATATTTTAAATATTTAATATTATAATACAAATTTAATTAACCTTAATTCATTTTTATTTCCCACCCCTCCTCTCACCGGCCCTCCCCACTCATCCTCTCTCCTTTCATCAATTCAAGTAGTCGACGATAGAGTTGCTCCGGCCGATACCACACCAAAGCGCCTGTCGTCGCGAGACAAGTAGTCGGTGGTCGGAATGGTGCGGCTCACCGAATTGATTGTTTTGCTGTCGATGAATGGTATGCTGCGGGGAGAGGACCGACGCCGTTCCTTCACCTATCTCATCTTCTGTCTTGCTACGTGAAGGAAATCGGCGCCGCGACTGCAAGAGCACAGCTGAGCGTTCGTCGCTCACTTGCAGTGTATTGAGGTCGCGGTGGCGTTCGCGATTTTGGGGATTTTTTAGTAGTGTTGTGGTGTGGCAGCGGCGACGGCGCTAAGTTTGGGGATTCTTTTTGTTGTTGTATTGTGGTGTAGAGATGAAAATGGTGATGGTGCTGTGGCCAAAATCTGCAGCTCCGCGATGGTAGTGGTGTGTAGGCTGCGATGACACTAAGTTTGGTGATTTTTTTTGTTATTGTGGTGTGGTGTAGAGATGGAAATGGTGATGGTGCTGTGGCCGGAATCAACAGCTTCGCGATCTGGTGGGTTTTTAGGTATGCTTTCAATTGGTAGATAGGGGCTGTAATGGTGATGGTGGTGTTTGGGTGGCAGTGACTTTGTTGGATCCGATGGCGAAGGTTACGTTGGATATGGTGGTGGTTGTGGTTTTGTTGGTGGCGACGGTGTTGGATATTGTGGGTGGTGAGATGGTGGCGATGGTTATGGTGATATGTTGGTGGCGATGGGTCCATCGAAGTGATGGTGGATATGGCGCGAGGTTGTGTTGATTTGAGGTGGTGATGTTGCCGTCGAGAGGTAGCGGTGGTGGTAGTTATGGCAGCAATGACGGTGGCGGTGGTGCTACTGCAAGAAGTGGCTAGGTGGTGGTCACAAGTGTTGTAGGGTGTTTGTGACCAACTAATTGGTTGAATGTGACTAATAAATTGGTTTGTGACTTGTAATTTATTAATTTGTGACCATAAAATTAATTGTGACCAATTATTTTGATATAATTTGTGACTGACAAATGAATTGTGATCAATTAAAATTTTGATTTTGTGACTAATCAATGAATTGTGACCTAAGAAATTTTTGATTTGTGGCCGACAAATTAGATGTGACCAATAACAATTTTGATTTCGTGACCTATAAAATTTTTGATTCGTGATCGAAAAATAATATGTGACTTATAAAATTTATGTTTGTGACTTATAATTTATTAAGTTGTGACCGAAAAATTAATCTGTGACCTATGAAATTTTTGATTCGTAATCGAAAAATAATATGTGACATATAAAATTTGTGTTTGTGACCGAAAAATTAATCTGTGACCTATAAAACTTTTGATTTGTGATCGAAAAATAATATGTGACCTATAAAATTTGTGTTTGTGATTTATAATTTATTGAGTTGTGACCGAAAAATTAATCTATGACCTATAAAATTTTTGATTCGTGATCGAAAAATAATATGTGACCTATAAAATTTGTGTTTGTGACTTATAATTTATTGAGTTGTGATCGAAAAATTAATCTGTAACCTATAAAATTTTTGATTCGTGGTCGAAAAATAATATGTGACCTATAAATTTTTTAATTTGTGATCGAAAAATAAGTTGTGATCAATAATATGATAAGTCGTGACTAAAAATTAATCTGTGACTAATTATTTTTGGATTTGTGACCAATAAATAAACTGTGACTTACAAAATTTTTGAAATGTGATCGTAAAAAAAATTGTGACATAAATTTTTTGATTTGTAACCAAAAAATAATAAGTAACTAATTATATTGTTAATTTGTAACCAAATTGTATAGATCTGTGACCTAAATATATTTAATTAATAAAATAATTAATTAACTAATTAAATTATAAATAATTTTTAATAAAAATCTGATTTTAGAAATTTGAAACTTGTTTTCTTATTTTTGAAATGTGCCATCATTAATTTCTTAGTTATGAAATTTTCCCAAATAAATTTCATCACTAATACCAGTAAATTCTATCCGGTTATCCCTTTAATTGATAATTTTCATGTAAAACAAATTCAAATGAACATCAAAAATATTTTTATTTCAACATATTTCACATGAAAATTTATATCAATCAAATACAATAATTTACAATTATTAGGAAAACAATTTCTAAGTAATTCAATTCCTCGTGATTCGTTTTTTTCAACTCAATTTTCATCTTTGGAATCAAACGGAAACTTAGTGTGTGTTTGATAGGAGGCCAATTCCATTTTCCATAGAATTGGATTTCCAACTATCACTTTTAAGGGTGTTTGATGTCCAAAATTTTCCCTAAAATTTAAATTCCTACTTTCTTGCTACATAAGTCGAATTCCAACTTTTCCTTGAATTGGAATTCTCTACTTTTCGGTTACTGTAGCAATTTTTATTTATTATTATTATTTTTTTTTTGGCAATAGAAACAAATTCTAAGAATTATTATAAAAAAAATATTTCCCTTCAATTGACAATTTCCTTATAAAACAAAGTCAAACAAATACCAAAAGATAGATGATTTTCTTGATTTATTTTATTTTATTATTATTATTTTTTGCAATGGAAACAAATTTCATCCCCAATATTAGTAAATTCTACCCATTTAATTGATAAATTTTATATAAAATAAAGCTAAATGAACACCAAAAAATAATTTTATTTCAACATTTTTCACGTGGAAAATTATACGAATCAAACACAATAATTTACAATTTTCAGGAAAACAATTTATAGACAATTCAATTATCTGAAATTCGATTTTTTTCCACACAAATTCCATCTTTGCAAAAAAAGGGGACCCTAAAATTTAAAATTTTTCATTATTTTTTAATCTCATATTCTCCAACAAAATTTTATTTCAAAATGCATTTTTGTCCAAAAATGGGGCTCAAACAACGGCATGGTAACATTTCTTGTCACCGACTCACTGCCTAGTATTTGCCTGATTTCGACTTAAAATTTGTCATAGGTCCCGTTTGTTTCTCATTTATGAAA